CATTTCTGTCACTCTCTCTATCTGTCTGTGTCTGTCTGTATCTGTCTGTGTCTCTGTGTGTGTTCTGGTACATGTGGAGGACAGGACAACCTTGATAAGAACACACAGGAATAAGTGGTTAAAGTCCTTGTAGTTTAGAAAAAGGAGAAAAGAATGAGTGAAGAATATCATTCTCAGCTGTCATCCTTTTGTTACTGAGGGAGGATCTCTCACTGCGTTGGGCTCACCCAGCAGGGTAGGCTGGCCGGCCAAAGGGCTTCAAGAACCCACCTGTCCTCTGCCTCTTCAGCACTGAGATTACTAGTGTGCCGCTATGCCTTAAACATGGATTCTGGGGGCCTGAACTCAGGTCTTAACACTTGTAAGGTGAACAATTTGTTGACTGAGTCATCACCCCAGCCAGATCTTTTGTTAGACCTTTTTTCCTGGTGTGAGTTGAGCTTTCCTTGAAGAACTGTGCACCAGACACTTGAGAACAGTAACTGCACAGACCCTCTCACCTCTTGGACTTGAAGCACTCTTTTGAGTTCATCATATCCTGAAATGACCACTGCTGTTCTCAGAAAGAATGAAATTCCAATCCCATACAGTGCAAGGCAGTGGCTGAAACAGCTTCCTATATCTCCTGTCATCATAAATCCCTCCCCGGTTTCTTCCCCTGCTCCCTCTACCTACAGCAAATCCCAGAGCCTTCCTCCTCTCCCCCAGCCTGGGAGACATTTATGAGGCTCATCACCAGGGAAGCACGGAGGCCTGTTCTTGTCTCCCCCTCTTCTAGCACGGTGATCTTTTATCCCCCTCCCTCCCTCTCACCTCCTGGACCAAGGTCAGTTATCTTATACCCCGTTTATGGGCTGTTGGGATTTTTCCAACCACCTGAAATGAATCTGCAAGGCCCCACAGGTAGTGCTGCTTGGTCTCCTGGTCATAAAGTATAGCTGGCTCTTTCATCTGCCATTGCTTATGTCGTAAATGAGTGGGCAGAAAGACAGTGGGGAAACAGCCTTCCTGAACCATTCCAGACTTAAAAAAAATAAGAAGAAGAGGAAGAAGAAGAAAGGGAAAGAAAGACCCCGAGAAACATGTTCAAACTTAGTGCCAAGCTAATTCATTTCACTCTGGTAGGCTGTACGGAGAGACTTAATCTCTGGGCTTCCCCCGTAGGAGTCAGCTTTATTCAGTGCTTGTGTCTAAATGGCCTCCAGGGATGCTGACATTTGTTGGAGAGCTGAGAGTGGTGTTCCTTTCATCTCTGTTGAGGAGTGTCACCTTAAATTATGAGGGATAGCTCCAGCCCACATCTGGGTGTGGGAGGCTCTGGCAATGGAGGGGGCCTGCTCCTTTTGCTGTTTGAAGGTTTTCTACCGTCTTCTGCCTCCTGGTACCCCAGCCGACACTTCCATACTCTCATGGAGAAGTTTGTGGAGTCTGGCAAGTCTCACGGCAGAAAGAGAGAAGAAAGGAGCCTCAGCGAATGTCACAGAGCAGCCCAGAGCAGCCCCAGGAAAGTCACAGAACATCCTGGGCTGCTAGTATTCACACACCGTAGTGGAAGTGGTCGAAGGAGAGGGATGGACAGTTCCTGAAATTCCAAATTACTTGTCACTCTCCATCCTCGGGATTTGACTCATCCTGACCCACCAGGATAACTGGTAGCAGCATCCCAGTTAAAAAGTGTACATGATACTGACCACAGCAGAGAACACATCAGGTCCTGCTAGCTGTCCATCACAGTGTACCAGCTGAAAAGTTCCTCTTGCCCCAGAGTCAGGGCCTAGAAGAATGGGGCATGGGCACAGGATGCATATGTTTGCATGCAGGGGCAGGAGATTTGGTGGGAGCTAGGGCAAAGGTCACTAAACTGAAGCACTCAGACTATATTTGGCCTGCTGTCTCTTGTGCAAATGCAGGTGTACCGGACATGGGTATGCACATGGCTGCCCTTGGGCTACGCCACAGTGCTGGTGGTAGAGAATAGAGTGTGAACTGAGACCAGACAGCTGGTGGAGACTAAAGGAATTCCTCTCAGAAATTTCACAAAGTCTGGAGTCTCCCGAGGAGGGAGAATGTGTGATAGACAACCTGTCACACTGCTTTCCTGGAGAGGGCCAGCATATACAGGCCGTTGTTATCACTTTAGATTTTTACGTTTTCATTCCTCACATGATCCAACATTTCAATACCCATTTGCATCAAAGGATGTGGGAAATGAGTATAAAAGAATCATTTGAAAAGACACGTGCAAGCGCCATTTTATTGACAACGCTAGCAGAAGACAGGCTTCAGGTGATCTCCTGATTTCATTTTAGAACGTGCTCTCTACTGGTGCTCATTTGCAGTGCCAGTCTACTGACTCCTGCCCACTCCTACCTGCCTGCTTTCGGGAGATCTGCATGTCATGTCACTTGGGCTGGCATGTCAGTCAACTGAAGGATTGGTAACAGCAGAAATTCCTCTTTACCTTCATGAGGGGTTTAGGGAGTCTCTGACCTGCTAAGATTAAGGCCTTTCAAGGATGAATATGTACAGATATGACTTTCTTTTTCTACCTTTAGCCTCTTAGGGGAATCCTCTTATTTTACTGAGGCTTTTGCTTTCAATGTTTATTTTTCTCCTTGCTGTTCTGCAAACCTGCTAGGATCGACTTGAAAACCCTCAGCACGGCTATGACTAAGATTGCCTGCGACACCACTCCTTGGAAAGTGCAGCTTCAGAGCTGAAGGATCTAGGGCCATCCCCCTCCCCAAGAGGACTTTGGTGCTAATGCTCCTTAATCTCTCAGGGTCGTTCATTTGTACCTTTGGTGGGGAGCGACCATGGGGAGAATATAACCTTTCTACAGCATGTGTTAAGCATCACCTGTGTGCTGGGGTCGTGTGAGCTTCTTTGTACATAGCATCAGTGCTTCTGGGACACCCACAGGGTGGATGTTACTGTCATCAGTATGTAGTGGAGGAAACCAACTGGGGAACTGGGGACATGACATGACTAGCAAAGGGCTAACGAGGGGTGGGAGTGCCTGCCTACCTCAGTCTCATTATAGTTCAGCGGATTCACAGGTAAGTGCCCCTTCACAAGCTATGAATTTTGAAAGCCCATAGAAAGAGAAAAATGTTTCTTTCATATAAATGAAATGTCTGGCTCTGGCAGAGTGCTAATTCAGAACTCAGCTCATATCCTAACTAAACAATCATGTACAAATGTTATCTCCTCTGTGGAAGAGGTAGGAGTAAAAGAAATGACGTGCGTGTGGCATGCAACCGGTGGGCCTGCCTTGAGGGGTTTTAAAAAGTAGCCAGCATGAAGCAGGGCAAGCATATGAGGTAAGGGTTTCCCTGCAAGGAGGGCAGGAAGCTCTCTAAGACCCAGAGATAATGGTGGGTATCCTCAGGATAGCGTGGATCCACAACTCCCCTTGGCTCCCGATGCACAGAGTAAAAAAGAAATAACTCACTAGACCTTTGAAACACCTTCTGGGTCTCTGAGAAGTGCCTGTATAGAAGACTTCTTTCTACTCTGGGCATTCTGAGTCGTCAATTATAGATCTTGTAAGTGCTCAGCTGTAAGTGGGACATCGTAAGTGATGACCAGAGCCTTGGCCAGCCAAGGCTCTGGAAACAATATGGAAGAGGAGGCAGAAAGAATGTAGGAGCCAAAGGATAGGAGACATGCTGTGAAATGTTGTTTTCTGGACATGATATATCTGTTGCACTCATGAATTCATAGCGCCTGTGTTTGACTGCACAAGACCTGTACAAGACCAAGCCAGCCAAGATTCTAGCACATATGGGGCAGGAACTTACGAGGCTCCACCTATAAATGAGTACCTATTGGTGGTTGATGGCTGTTGGGGAAGGGTACACCCTTTTGTTGGAGATGTGGGCACTGGTAGGTTGCCCATGTTCTGGTAGATGACCCCACATCCACACACATGTGGGAAGCACTAAATGGACTTAGTGAGTTTTTTTATATCTAAATGTTTTTTTTAATTTTTATTAATTACAGTTTATTCACTTTGCATCCCCCCCGGAGCTCCCTCCTTCCTCCCCTTCCAATTTCACCCTTCCTCCCCCTTCTCCACCCATGCCCCCCCCCCGAGTTCTTCTTCCTTCCTTATATTTATGATGAAAAATATAAGGAAACATGAAGCTGGGAAGTAGACATGTGTGAGAACATCTTGGGGCAGCTGGAGGGAGAGAGCAGAGGTGGATTTGATTATTTTTCATTGTATACATGGGTGAAGTTCTAAAAGAATAAAAAGGAGAAAATACTCCTGTGTTAGTCACTGCTCATCGAGTTGAAGTAGTTCGCATACTTTTCTTAAGGAGTTGCTTACTTTAGAGAATAGAGGCTTCGATGAATTGTTAGTGTGTTACCTGGTCATTCCGTGATGTCTGTGCCTGTAGATAACATGATGCTGGTTTTTGGTGGCCCGTTAAACAGTAATATTTTCTACCTCCTGGCAGTAGCTAAATTTTATTTTATTTTTTTATATAGTTCCGTAAAGTTATGCCTGAGTCCCTTTGGTCTAGTATTGAAAAAAATGACATCAAGGAAACCACACTAGTAACCAACAGTTTCCAGGCAATGGTTGTGTACTGAAGAGCATTTTGAACACTTACTAATACAGGCTCGTTTCATCTCCTCAGTGATTCTGTGGAAGCAGGCTCTCTTATGTCACGATTCTTCACATGAAAAGTAGAGTCAGAGTTGATTAGCTTACTTAAGGCCACACGGTTGGTAAGTGTGCAGCCAGGACTTCATGCTGTGATAAAGCCCTGAGGAGAAGTATGATCGGGCTTTCCGGCTCTAGCCTCTGAGCCCTAGAAGCGTTTTCTTAGCCTCTTTCTTGAAGCTCTTAAAGCTGCACTGCACAGGTTATTGCATCACATTGAAAGCCATCTTGGGAATGTAGCATCCAAGAGCTTATTTTGGAGCAACCCACAGCTGCACAAGGTGCCATCTGAGAACTGGGGATACTGTTCTCTGCTTCCTCTTAGGCAAAAGCGATGATGAAGAGAGTCTTTGCAAGTCAACCCATGGGGCAGGGAAAGGAACGTCAGAGGACGGCAAGGACCATAAGCGACCCAAACGTCCCAGAACCATCTTGACCACTCAGCAGAGGAGAGCATTCAAGGCCTCATTTGAAGTATCCTCCAAGCCCTGCAGAAAGGTATAAGAGGGGCAAGGCCAGGAGAAGGGAGCCAGGTGTTTCATCTGTGTGCAGCTGGACTCCCCTGGGATAGTAGAGGGCACTGGGCGGGGGTGGGGTGGGGTGGAGTGAATCTGAACAGTAGGGAATGTGGCTCAGAGTCTGTGACAGTTGTGCGCTCTGCAGGAATTTCCAAGGACAGCTAAACACTGGCCTGAGAAGTAACAGAAATTTCCCTGAACTTTCTGTGTGCGTGCCAACTCCAAGGACCCTGACTGACAAACGCCTCTCATTTCATGAAGAGCAACAAGGAACAATAAATAGTAACTAAACTGTCGTGATAATAAGTACTAGTTGTGGTATAAACAAGATACCGTAACAAAGATTATAAAAAGACAGTAGCTTGCAGTATGTGCTTCCTGAGGTCGAGTCTTGGCTTATTCTCCTTGGCATGGTGGCTTGGTGACTCCCTGGGTAGTAGCCCCTTCCTTCCAATGATGTTTTCAACTGAGTGGATGTGCTCTGGATTTCCACTCACCTATTGATGGGGATTTGGGTTGCATTTTGTTGCGGCTGTTATGAATAGGGTCCTTGTGAACATTTATATAAAATCACTCATTGACTTAATGAAATAGTATTTTGCTTTTATGTCACACTTCAGAGGAGAGCAAAATAAGCCTGGGAGGGCAATCCTGTTATCCATCACTTGGGTCCCAACAGTTGCTCCAGCTGTCTTCATTTTCCCAGCCACCATGGTCGGGACAGCAAATGGAGAGGATGAGCACCTGCCATTTTGGGGACATTCCTGGGGCTTGTGTCCACCTGTTTGTGCCTCTCCTGTCCACAGAGTAGGGAAAGGCGAACTGGGTATTTGTTGAGCAATAATATACTCTGTCACAACTTTGATCTTGGAAAAGATTTACCCATGAACTCTTTCCTTTCCCTGTCTTTGTCACTCCCTACGCTCTGTGGGAGGTACAGGTAGGACATGAAATACCTGAAACAGGCTTACACGTGGACCACTTACAGGGACGAAGACATGGGTCTCCACAAGTGTCACATCAGAGAGGAAGCTCTGACATCACTACAGAGAGGAGACCAGGAGCTCTGGGAAAGGGGAAAGCCGTTTTATATGGGCATCTGTGAGGCTTTGGGGATCAAGTGGCTGCTGGTCCGAGCCTCAGAGGCATGGATAGGGTTTCAACAGGTGCAAGGGCCTGGATGCCCACTCCTCATGGAGGCTTAGTAGTTGCACATGGCTCAGGAACCTACCCTACTCATCTCACTTTTAAGCTTCAGGCCAACTGCACGGTCAAGGTGAAGGGTGGCCGGTAGCCCCCATTTAGTGGACTCCAGCACCTATTCAGGCTCTTTCAGGCCTTCTCTGGACTCTGTCAAGAAGGGGCAGTGTCTCCACCATCACACCAGCCCCTCGCCATGTGCCTGGATGGCCTGGATAACCAAACAGATCTCTCTGTTATCTGGACTCCCCCAACTGTCCCTATCTCCACATGACCCCAGTGCATTTATCAGTGTCAGGGTTGTTCACCTGGCTCTGCCTGGTTCCAGATGGGTCCCGGGTTTTATATCCCCTCTGGGAAGGGCTCACTGAGAAAAACAGCGAGCACAAATATTCACAAAACACACCAAGTTACTTGGAAAGAGGCAAAGGTAAAATTTTAAGTCAATGACAAGACAGCAGGACAAGAGAGAACCGTTAGTTCTTTAGTTCTCAAGGAGAACTTTAGTTCTCCTTGAGTAGGTAAAGTATATGAAGACCTACAGCTGAAGAGCAGCCAACTCCAATAGACCACATAAGGCTGTAATGTCAGAGTCCAAGAAGCTCAAAGTACTTCCTGGGGAAATAAATGAGCTTCTCTTCCTTCCTCTGCCTTGTGAAAGATGCCTTCTCTACCAGAAAGGAAGCGTAAGCTTGTGTTTGGGTACATCTGAACATTAATCATGAACTCATTTCTACTTATGAATGTGACCTCTGCCCCCACCAGGCACCACCCAGGAAACGGTTTGCCTCCTACTCTGAGGAGCCAGTGTGTATTTTATACTCATGTGTTCTATTTCTTCAAGGTGAGGGAGACCCTGGCTGCGGAGACAGGGCTGAGTGTCCGTGTGGTTCAGGTGTGGTTCCAGAACCAGAGAGCCAAGGTAATCTGCTTCTTACCTTTATCTGTCGTTCCCTGACTGGTTTCTTCCAACAGCAGCAGTTGGGCACTGAACTTCCCATCAGCCTTTCTAAGCTAACTTAGTGGGTGGAGTAGCTCTCTTGATTCAAAATGTCTGCCATCAGCAATCATTTCAGCCATAGCAGCCCCACAGAAGGGGAAAAGGAAGCCTTCATGTTAGCGAAACGGCTTTTGTCATGGCAGATGGGATGAATGTCTTCACTTCCAGCCAGCAGTGTCCGGGGTCACAAACAAATCCAGGATTACTTATTTTCTTTCTGACGCTAAAAATATACGTGCCCTGGCTGATTTCTCATAATGTTGGTTTTATTTATTTTTCTTTCTTTCATGTGTGTTCATGTGCAGGTGTGTGCGTGCAGGTGTGTCCGTATGCATGAAGGCCAGAGGTTTTCAGGAGAGTAATTCACCTTGGCTTTGTTCTTTTTAATAGAATCTCTCCCTGGGTCCTAGAGTCCCTCAATTAATCTAATCTCGGGGCCACGTAGTCCCAGGGACCCTCTTTGTCTCCATTCTCCACTTGGGCTCACAAAGTGCATGTGGATACTCCTGACTTTTTGTCTGAGTTTTTAAAAAGTGGAACTCAGGTCTGTATGCTTGCACAGCAGCCATTTGCAGGCTGAACTGTCTCCCCAGTCTTTAGAAGGTGATAAATTACCCTCTTTAGTGAGTCACAATTCTGCAACAGAATTCCTCAGAACAGGGCTGTTGGTATGTTGCTGTTCCACCAACAGAAGACTTGGTGGCGCAGGGACTGTGAGAGAGCAGATGGCTGTGCACTCACAATGCAGGAGCACTCAGAAAGCTCTGGGGAATTTTACGGCAGAGGAATTCGTTTTCAAATCTAGTACAGCAGGCGCACGCGTACACACGCTCACACACAAGGCAAATATTAAGATCTCACTGAGTGCTAATGTTTCCCGGAGCACGAGCTGAGAAACACTGTATAAAAAAAAAAAACCAAAAAACAAAAAAACAAACAAACAAAAAACCACCCGGTGAAACCTGTCGCTTTGGTGGGCAAGCTTGTGACCTAGAGCTCACAGGAAGTGCCGCAAACACAGGCCCAGCAGATGGGAAGGAGGTAAAAGAGTGTCTGGGTTCCTCCCAAGTCCCTCTCATTGGGCAGCCCATGCTCCACACTCTGTGAGACCATGAAACACACATCCGCACTCTCACCGCCCCACATGAAGCTGTTCCAGGGAAAGCAGCATGTGGCCCTTGCTGGGAAGAGGTCCGTTTCCGAGAAGGCAAGCTGCACTTTGCTTCTCTGCCAGCCCCATGCCTGCAGCTGCAAAGCAGGAGAGTCCTTGCCACCGTGTGTCTGAGTCCTGATGGTGTGCCTGACATGTGCTTCCTGGACAGAGGACAAGCTGGTGGGGGGGTGGGGACACACCCTGTCTGCTCTCCCTTACCGTGTGGACCCACCCCAGGCCTCTGACTCCTAATGCTGTGGTCCTCTCCTCACCAGATGAAGAAGCTGGCCCGACGGCAGCAGCAACAGCAGCAGGATCAGCAGAACACCCAGAGGCTGAGTTCTGGTAAGCTTGTGGCCTTTCCAGCCAGTCCTCGCTGTAGTCCAAGTCCCTCCCACCCAAGGCCTTCAACCGACGCTCTTTGCGTGACATAGCCCCAGTCAGTTTGAGAGATGATAGACTTATGGGAATACTGTGCTGTTGGCACCTTGTTGAGAGTGTTGAGGGCACTTGAGCTGCACATCTGGGGCCGCTGGTTGACAGTGGAAAGCCTCCTGTCTGGACCCTGCAGCGCTAAGACTGCGCACAGAGTCAAAGGCACGTCCAGTTGCTCTTCGTAATTACCCAGTCCTCATCCGAAACAAATCCATTTACTGAAAGATGCTACTGACTCAGCCCTTGTGGTAACTTCCCATCACCATGGTAAAAGTCTTAAGATAATCAACTTAAAAGGAATAAACGCCTATTTGGGCTCATGATTCAAAAGGATCTCGGTCCATAACTGCTTTGAATGTTGTTTTAGGGCTTAGGGTGAAACAGCATTTAGGGAGAGGTGTGTGCTGGAGTGTTCAGCTCATGGTGGTCACGAAGCTGAAAGTGAAAACAGCCTTAGAAGTGGAGCTATAGGTGTTCTTTTAAGAGCCCCGTGCTAAAACAGCCACTTACTCCCAGCATCTTGAGTGGTCGTGAGTCTCTTTCATTCACTGCAGAGAGAAGCTTCTCTGATTATCGCTGAGAGTATCCTTTGCCTGTGGGCACAAACAAACCCTTGGCACACAGTTTAATGCCATATCACAATAGCTATTGAACAGTAATGAGTTCTCCAGTAGGGCCTATGACCTCCTCAGCCAGGAATTTTTGTCACTTCAAACAAACAAACAAACAAACAAACAAACAAACAAACCCTGTATTTTATGAAGAGTCTCACATAGTTTTAAATAGAAGTCTCTAAATATCCTATTCACAGTTTACCATGGAAATGTACCCTTTATCCATTTTTTAAATTTTTCTATTTTTTTCTTCACAATTTATTCATTATATATCCCATTGAAGCCCCCTCCCTCAATTCCCCCCAGTCCCACCCTCCCTTTCTTTTTCCCCTCATCCCCTTCCCCTAGTCCACTGAAAGGGGAGTTCTCCACTATGCCATCTGTCCATAGCTTATTAAGTCTCATCAGGACTGCTTGGATCCTCTTCCTCCATGGCCTGGCAAGGCCGCATCATCAGGGGCAAATGATCAGAGAATAGGTCAACTGAGTTCATGATAGAGGCAGCCCCTGCTCCCCTTACTTAGAGATTCACATGGAGACTGAGCTGCCAATAGATCCTCTCCATGCATGGTCCTCCGTTGGTGCATCAGTCTCTGCAGGACCCCTGGGCTCACATCTTTTAGTTTTGTTGGTCTCCGTGTGGGGCTCCTGTCCTCCATGTCCCTCTATTCCCACCCCTTTCTTCCTCCATAAGACTCCCTGTGCTCTGCCCAAAGTTTGACCCTGAGTCTCAGCATCTGCTTCAATACCCTGTTGGGTGAATCCTTTCAGAGGACCCTCTATAGTAGACTCCCATCCTGTTCCCTCTCTTCCACTGCTTCTGGTGTCTATTCTCTTTGCCATTCTGAATGGGATTTAAGCATCCTCCTTAGGGTCCTCCTTGGTGTTTAGCTTCTTTAGGTAGATGGCTATCCTATCTTATACGGCTAATATCAGCTTATAAATGAGTATGTGCCATGCTTGTCTTTCTGTTTCTTTAATAGGTTTACGTATCAAGTATGCATTCCTCCAGTGAGGCGAGCCCTCATTTCCAGTGTGAGAGCAGTTGGTTTCCCCTAATAGTCAGGCATTTGTTGCCAGTGGGCACAGCTTGCTTGACAGGCTGGCATCATAGTTTATAGGATTCGCAACTGGCTAGGACCACTGATGAATTTTCTTCCCCAGTAGAAGACTGCATGGCCCCTTTCAGTACTCCAAAAGCCACCCAGCAGAGAGAGAACATCCAGCTCGTTTCCAGCTTGGTTTCTCTATATCCTGTTGTCAAGGTATATAGGTATATAATGTCGTCTGCAGTAGAATCCTGTCATGTGGTTTTGAGGACAACCAAGAGGAATAGCAAAAGCCTATCCTGTTTGGGGAGGCCCTAGGGCCTCCCTGCCCAACGGCTCTTAAGACTGTAACCCACACCTGGCAGCCAGATTTGTTTACTAAACAAACAACGGCTCTAGGAGTGGTAGCACCTAGCCATGCATGATATATCAGTAGATTTATACATAGTTTCCTCATAAATAGTTCATTTTGATTAACCCTCTGGGCTCCCCCCCCTTTTTCCCCCATCCCTGCTTAAGCCTATCCACCACAGTACTCCCTCTTTCTACTTTCCTATCACCTTCTCTCCTTATTTGCCCTCCCCCATGAAGTCAGCTCCCCTCCCCCCATGGCACCTTTCTAGTGTATTTTGGCTTGTATAGATGTTCCAAGTTAGACACACAGCTCTAAATATTCAAAGTCTGAATCATACATGAGAGAGATCGTGTGATACTCTACTTTCTGGGCCTGGTTTACCTCAATCAATATAATCTTTTCTGTTTCCATCCATTTACTGGCAAATCTCATCAATCCTTTTTACCAGTATTTATACAAGATAAATATTACTACCCAGGAATACAGAGCCAGCAGTTGCTGGGGAGGGGTGAGCATCAAGCTGAATAGGATTCTTGAATTCTGTTCACAGATCTACCCCCACTACAAAACTTTTTGATCCAGGACCAGCCCACTTGTCTGTGTAATTGTGCCATAGGGTGTATGCATCCATACATACACCCTATTATGAGGGTAATCATGCATGCTATCCTCATCACGTGGTTTCTCTGCAGCCTTCAGAGAGGGTCACAGATGTGAAGGTGGCTTGGTAAGAGGCATGACAGTTGATTCCATGTAAAGTGACAAACTGAGGAGAAAATTGTGTCAGAGCATTGTGAAAACACACGGACAGCACTTAAGACTTTGCTTAAAGACTTCCCAGGACGGCTGCTAGAGTAGACATGAGAAATCAGGGGCTGGAAGAAGTATCATCGCTAGTTCATAGACCCATGCTCACACTGAGGATGGGGAGACAGGAGTGATTCCCTCTTTTCATAAACTTCTGCACACAAGTGCAGCGGGCTGCAATTGCACAGCATGCCCACGTTCATGAAATCTTTGTATCAACCCTTTGAGGTCAGCTGGTTCAGCGTCATGAGGCCCGCTTGACCGCTGCGCTTGTGATGGGTTTCAGGAAAGATCCATCCCCTCAAGGGGCTGCCAAACCTCTATGATATCCTAAAGTTCAGCTTCCAAGCCCACACCTCTATCCTCCACTGACATGGCCTTTGGTAGGCGCAGGTTAGGAAACATGACGCCGCCCCATCCTAGTTAGTAAATGAGGAAGCTAGAGACCCTGACAGTAAAATTTATGTAGCCACAGTCACACAGTTTGCTCAGTCACAAGCCTCGGAGGTGGCCTTCCATGATTCTCACAAGCTGATGTCTACACCCTTTGGTAGCCATCTTCAGCACGGGAGAGAAGAGAGTGAAAGTGTGACTTCCAAAGCTGGGCTGTAAGGGATGAAATGGTTTTGGGGGGGGAGGAGTGCTGGGGTGCAAGCTGAAAATGACCAGTCTTCATTTTTCTTTCCCAGCTCAGACAAACGGTAGCGGGAGTGCCGGGATGGAAGGGATCATGAACCCCTACACAGCATTGCCTACCCCACAGCAGCTGCTGGCCATTGAGCAGAGCGTCTACAACTCTGACCCCTTCCGACAGGGCCTCACCCCACCCCAGATGCCCGGAGATCACATGCACCCCTATGGTAAGAGGGACCCAGTCCTCGAGGGTCTCTCTCAGTTTGCTCATGTGGGTTTCTCGATTTCCTTAATATATGTACAGTTTCCAGAGACTGTATTGCTGAATTACCAAATAAGAATATATGTACCACAAAACATTGCTGACACTGTCTGACTGATGGGGACAGAGGATTCCTGTGCACAGCCCTTGATATCACCATGTATCACCATTTTTTGAGGCTCCTTTGGTGAGCCTTTTCTTGTCCACCCTGCCACTTAAGCCAGTGCTCAGAGACGTGGCCTGGAGGCTCTAGTGGGACAGAGTGAATGAGGGGAGGGTTCCAAGGCTGTTGCATCTTCACACTAGGAAAGGCAGTGTGTGATTTACAGTAAATGTGATGTAATATGTGGTCTCATGTGTTATAAGTTGCCCTGATGATTATACAATAAAGTTGGTTCAGCAGTCCTGAATAACTGAGTAGCAGAGACATAAGGTGTACCCTCTTGGCCAACTTCTTTCCTTGAGTTAGTATTTTGTGGTTGTTGTTGCTGCTGTGGTTAGGAATGTTACTGAATGGGTAAAATGCCTCCAATACATACATGAAGACAAGAGTTCAGATTTTCAGCATCCATGTTAAAAATCAGACATGGTTACAAATATCTGTAGCCCCAGTGCTTGAGGGGTAGAGGCAGGTGGACCCCTGGAGCTTGCTGGACAGTCAGTCTCAACAAGTTTGTGACCTCCAAAAATAAGGTGGAGAGCCGCAGAGGAAGACGTCCACGTTAGCTTCTGTTCTCTACTCACACACACATAATGTGTGGCCAACATACATTGACATGCAAGCACATACATCACACACACACACATACATTCTAGGTCTGTGTGTGCGCGTCCCGGTGATGTCCATCTTTTTTCCTCTTTAGAAGACACGTGTCACATTCAAACAACATGAGATTTTGTCTTTTTTGTTCATTTTGCAAATCCCAACATCTATGATTTTTAGCAGGATGAGCAATTAAAGCTCAGTGATAAGTTTAAGGCGCTCGTTTCTGCCTCTCCAGTTGAATTGATGTGCAGGTGCACCCTGTCACACCTCCCAGCCCGCAGGTTTCAGAGGGCAGTGGCATCTCAGCGGGGGTACAGTGCGGCCTCCTGGCCCCTCGTCACCAGGGTGCAGTTGAGACCAGGCGCCTCATCTTCCTTTGCTGTGGGGCACCAATATGGGGGCCCAGGGAAACCTTGGTACACCCCTGCTGCTTGAAATGCCCACTCTTAACAGCAAGGTCAGAATTTCATTTGAAGAATCCATGTTTATTTCTTACCATCTGTCCGCGAAGAGCCCTTTGTGAGGCCGAGGACCTGCAGGATCGCTGTCTGTGTCCCTCCAGCCTTCGGTCCTGAGTCCTGCCTACCCCATGTTCACTGTGGATACCCTCACGGTGCATAGCTTAGTTCATGTGGCTTAATATTTGGCCAACTTTGGACAGGAGCGCTCTGTAAGACTCCTAGCCGTCTATCCCTTAGACTTTTGCGTGTACTTGTCCCTATCACACACCTCAGCACTTAGTAAGTCCTCATCCCCAGAGTGTGTTCAGGCAACACCTAATGAGTTCAGCCGAATTTTCTGGCACACAAGGGTGGTACTTCTTCCGGACCCTCATGCTCCTGTTCTGTCTTCATTTCAGGTGCAGAGCCTCTCTTTCATGACCTGGATAGTGACGACACTTCTCTCAGTAACCTGGGTGACTGCTTCCTAGCAACCTCAGAGGCTGGCCCCCTGCAGTCCAGAGTGGGAAACCCCATTGACCATCTGTACTCCATGCAGAATTCCTATTTCACCTCTTGAGCCCTCTCCTAGAATTTCGTGGCTGGGCTCCCATATGGAACAACCGTGCTGTTTGAGGGGCGTGAGGGACTCTAGGGTGGGGAGGCCAGAGAAGTGGGCTGGGGGGTAGGCTTGCTGGGGATGCTGTTGTATAATGAGTTGATGTAGCTCAGCATTTCCAAAGACTGAATACATTATGGATTGCATAGTTTAATGTTTCTAATGAGAATCTTAGTGTTAGGTATGAAGAAGATGTGTTTATCATTAAGGACAGGGACTTTTAATATAGACATTCTCAAGCGAACTAGATGCCTAGGGACTCCTAACAGCTTCCCACTGTGGGGAAGTACTTGTCAAGAGGTGCTGTATGTCTATTCACCTACACACCAATAGGCAGACAGATAGATGTGTGCGTGTGTGTGTGTGAGTGTGTAACCCTTTCCACTTTATCATCAAAGTTTATCCCTAATTATAACAGACACCAACTGTACAGCGAAAGTAACTTTATTTTCAGTGTGAACTATATTTAAGGAAATTCTTGATGCACTTAAGTTATGAAATGAAATAATTTACTTTTATAAGCTTTATTTTTAGTTTGGAAAGACTCATCGGCAGGGCAGAGAGGGCTGCTCCAGCTGGCCCCATGGCTTTGAGTGCTTGAGTTTGTTCTGTTTTCAGAGTATCATTGAGGTCTAGGAAGCAGCTCTCCACTGGCTGGCAGCATTCTAGGGTGGACTCAAGCTCGTTCTGGTGTTGAGTCACTGAGCCTGGGTGGGACAGAGCAAGCCCTGAACGGGATTTTGGGCTCGCTGGCATGGGATTGCTGGGAAGCATCAGTGAGGTTGTTTCTACCCCTGGATTCAGCCTCAATAAGTGGATGAAGTTGATAGCGATGTCTACCTCCCTCTCTCTGAGTGTGGATGAGGTTGAAGCCACACCTACCTCCCTGGGGACATTGGGGCTCCACACCAGGACATGATCAAGGCTGAGACTAGAATCTGATGTGAATTAAAATGTAATAGGATCATGCGCCTGATGATAGAAGAGACCTGGGACCACAGAGCAGAAAGTTCCTGTACCCCAAGTCTTAGCCCTCTGCACAGCCCACATGAGAGAGACACAGCTCCGAGGGCTGGAGACAATGCTCCATCTGGGAAGGTAGAAGAGGCATGGTAGGATGGAATTCTCGAGCAAGTGTTGACTTGCACATCTGCTTTTTAAATTTAATTTACGTTAGTTTTGTTTTTACTATGCACCCAGAAAGCCTGAATTACTTGTGATCTCTGTTTGTCTCTTTCTTGAGGGCCCATAGTCTAGAAGGCCTGTTTATAAGCAACCTCACAGAGCTCATAGAGGCGGAGAGGACCAGGCAGGTACCCAGGGCTCTTCCTTTCAACTCAGTTTGCTGACCCTGAGCACAGGAAGACCCAGCAGCCTTTGTACACAGGGATGGTTCCATGCCCTGATCTCCAGTTTGGTGCTAGGATGGGATCTTCTGTGTTAGGATCCTTCCGGGGGAAGCAGAGTGATTCAGGGGAAGAAGGACTCCACTGAGAGGAGCTGTGACAGGCGTGGCCTCATGCCTGTGGACATCACCAGAGCCTTGACCACACCCACGTATCCACTTCACCCTCTGCAAGGCCAGAGGAAGCATGTCCCTTAGTGGTAGAGTCTGTGTGTGTGTGATTTTTTTTTGTGTGTGTTCTTCTTTATAATTTATACAAACCACCAGGACCCCCAAACCAGACTGTTGAGTGAGAATGAGGCAGGTGCAGGTGGCCCTGAAGGTGTCTGCGTTGCTGGTTGTTTGGATGTAGCAAATATTATGTGAATGAAAGCAAACAGAGATCCTTAATTCTACTCTACAATGACATACCGAGATGAAATTAAAAACCTCTTACAAACGAGCTGTCGTTTATTCCAGGGACTATGGTGGGCAGGGGACCAGGGGCACATGGGAGTTTCTTCCATGGAGGTATGGGTTTCTTTTGCAAAGCCATGGGGGTGTGTGCTTGGGGTGAAACTTGGACTACAGTCAAGCCTAAAGGGAAGGGATTCTGCAGCCTCTTGCTAAGATGGGCAAGGTCCTAAAGTTTCACCCTATTCCCCGCTGCAGGAGCAGGTTCTAGAATCATCGTCACCATACAGGTCGGTTGTGGTAGAGACTGCAGCAGATACTGTGTGCCATTAAGCTTTGGATCAGCATAGAGGTACCTGCCTACAGGAATGGGAGAGCAGAGCAGCAGCCAGTGTGGTCCCATGATAGAGTCTCCCAGAGTTCTCAGCAACTTTGCATTTAGAATTTTCACGAACATGGAAGAGTCTGCGTTAAAGATGCCTCCCTCTAGTGCACCGAGAAGGCTTTCCTCGAAGCTCCCAGGCTTTCCCTGGGGACTGGCTGTCCCTGATCTTTGTTCTTCTCCCCTTCTAACTGAGTGGACCTGTTCAGATCCATATTCCAACTCATTGGGTGCTGTGTGTCCTTTGAACAAGGTACTTCACTCTGCTGAGTCTTTTCCTCATAGAGTGGCAGAGATGATACTTGTCACTATCTTCAGGGTGAAGAGGGAGATGAGTATGGTATACAAAGTACACTTTGCCTGGCAATGGTGACAAGCTAACCTGTGGGCTGACCGGTCTCAGGACTGGATCAACAGTGAGTGGCTTATGGAAGTCTCAGGCCATCTATGAAAAAAAAATGGAGAAGACACTGACTTGTCTGAGCTGAAGGGGATATTCTATGCCATTCACCATTTGATAATTTGTTACATCTCAATGGAAGTATCATGTAATTACATGTAGGGAGTGGCTCATGTTGAGTGTAAGGAATGTAGAAAATATTCCAGTTTTAACAACCCCCCACAATACACAGAAGGAGTCCTCAGAGCATAGGAGGGTTCACTGCCATCTGCAGGGACTGCATGAGGATGGTGAGAGATGAAAAGCTGGGATCAGAGTGGAGACCAACAAGCCTGCCTAGGAGAAATGACTTGATTTAATGCTGATCAAGGTGGAAAGGAAGTGGAATTATCCTGTCGGCTCATTCAAACCTTAAAAAAAAAATAAATAAAGTTCAACTGAGCTACATGTAAAATCAGTCTCTCTTTCTCTTTCAGTACAAAGCAAGCAAAAAACTAACATTTAACTTCAATAAAATAGTACTACCAAGAGTCACAATGAAATCAAAGCCAAATGGACACATTGTTTCCCCAACTCTTGATTACAATAGTACAACCTTAGTCCAAAAACAGGAAGGGGAGAATCATTGTGTTTAGGGCTCAAGAGGCCTTCAGGTTTGTATGGTTAAAAATACACTTCTCAAGAGAATACAGGCAGTCCTCCTGAGACCTGATAGGCTAGGGTCAGACAGTAGGGGATGAAGGCCTCCCCTATCAGTAGATTAGGGGAGGGACATACGGGGGGGGGGGGGGGTAGGAGTAGGAGGATATGGGGGAAAGGGCTACAGCTGAGATACAAAGTGATTAAGTTGTAATAAATAATAATGATAGAGAAAAAATTAAAAAGGAAACATTTAGTTAAAAAAAATACACACTCTGAACAGGCCGAGAAGTTTGTGCTGCCATTTACTTGACTCCAAGTGAGGCTCTCAACTTTCATCTCTTCAGTAAAATGTGGCCATTGACACCTGTCTGTGAGAAACAAAACAATCATAAAAATGAGGCCTGTGGTCACCATCACACTGTGCGTGCATGCGTGAGTCCATCCTGTGGGGAGCATCCTCTCTGTGCAGACAGCTCTTCTCTTCTGTGCACTGTGGAAGGCTTTGCTTGCTGCTCTCCGGTTTTCTCTCAGGAGTGGCTTTTCCAAAGGAGGAAAGATATATTAGGTCAGGGTGAAAGTGACCTCTGTCCTCAGCCAGCAGCTGTAGTCACTGAAGCTACTGCCTAATGGACAACCCCACCTCACCCCTCCAGGTTAGGATTCTGAAGGACTATGGGGTGATACAGGTCTAGCCGGTGATAGAACAACTGGTCTCTTGGTGCCTCCCACGTGCTCAGGGAGAGAAGGGCGGAGCCTGTCTCATCTATGATGGGAAGGAACTATCTAGATAATTATACAGATTACCAATTTATCTAAACCATTCGACACCTCTTCCTTTCATTTAGTCACTCCTTTCACTGAATCAATAAGTATTTATAAAGACTGGGCATATGCTGTGCTGTGTAAAAAAAAAAAAATCAAGCAAGCAAGAAAGCAAACAAACAAACAAGAAACAAGGCAAAGAGGTGAGCAGATGAGCAGAGAGAGGCAATGATCCTGCTGGATTAGAAATGGCAACTTGGGTGGGAAATAGCTGTTAGCCGAAGTCTAATCAATTGAGCTTGAACAGTATGAAGAGCAGTGGAGATCTGCCTCCTGCATGTTTAACTGCAGGTAGAAAGAGTCCCAGGAGTTCTGTGGTCAGGTCTAAAAAAGTAGCTTGTGTTATGTACAAAATGTCCTTGGAGTCAAAGGACAGGGGCCACTGTCAATCAACACAGGTTTATTAAGTCTAGACGTGGACATTTGCTGCATTCAGCCTGCATAGCCTACTTCTGATAACATCACTCTGATATCCCTCGGGGACTTGACCTTCCTTGTTTGTGTGTAGTCTTGGAGGACTGCAAGACAAGGTGACCTGGTCCACAGTCATCTGGGGACACGTATCACATAGCCAGTGCTCAGCCCACCATCTCCAGACCTCAGGGGTACAACATTAACCAGATACCTAAAAGGATGGTCAGATAGCACCCACTTCCCAGACACTGAAAGGTGCCCTGCCTCCACCTGCTTCTAGAACTGGTCCACAAACACAAACTCTGGGAGCAAGGTCTGTTATTCCTACAGACCTTTACTTGCTTAGGTTAACTAGAGTTGTTCGTTTATTTTACTTCAGTTTAAGACTCCCCGACACAAACCACAAACCTACATTAGGTGGGAATGTGGGTGCATGCTTGTGTGTGTGAGTGTGTGTGTGTGTGTGTGTGTGTGTGTGTGTGGACTAGGTTAGATAGGACTAGGTTAGACAGGCATCCTTCCTTTTGTAGATAAAAACTGAAAGATCAAAAAGTTAATTGTCTTGACCAAGGCTACACAGCTAGTTTTGGTCAGGACGGAGTTTCTGGTTTGTTTCTTCTGGCTTAAAAATACACTTAAAAATAGTGTGTTTTCTCCCCCAACCCTGACATCCAAGGGGAATGGGTACACAGAATTCTTAGGACCCCAGGCCGTCCCACATTCAAAATCAAGATACCTTTCTTACATACAAGGTGCTTACATTCTACCTGAAAAAAACGTACATGCAATCAATGTGTAATGTGGGCGTTCAGGACACAGAATGACTATTGGCACAAAAGAAGAGGGGGAGCCGTTTCCAAACGGGTTCCCCTTGGACTCAAATGTGGATAGAATTTCAATACAGAGAAGGGGAGAAGGAAGACATCTGAAGCAAATGTCCTCTACAGGTAAGACAGTATAAAGAATGTCCCACACGTGTGCCATGTATGGGGGCACTATGGTTGGCAGACTGTGGGGAAACTGAGTCAAGCTGAGTAGAAATGCTAGAGGGACACAACACTAGCCATTCCCTAATACAGACCAAAGATACCCGCATCAAGGTGTACCAAAGACCTCCAGGCAGCCCACGTAATCTAGTCATCTATTATCTGAAGTAACACCCTCCATGTCTTGCTGGCATAAGGTGACCTGGAATAAAGCTCACATTCCTTGGGCTCCATGGCAGGCCAACTAACGAGATAAAAATGGAATGTCGCCTGACACGTCAGAACTATCTTCCTTGAAAAATGACTGGCATGTGCCTTTTCCTTCACCGATGTTGCTTCTTTTTTTGTGTGTGGGATGCAGAGGTGATAGCCAGAGACTATGAAGTTAGCCTTGAGGGGAGGCCATGTGCAGTGGATTACAAGAAGGAAAGGACCTGGGTACCAAGGAAGTCTGGAAACCATGTGGTCACTGTAGTCCTGAGGTATCCTGACACAGATGAGAAATAAGCAGCTTTCACTTTTAACTTGCTGTTTCTTTGTGTTTCATTGATTTATAGCCAATCCTAATCGTGTGTTTGTGCGTGTTATTTATGTGTATATGTGTGTTTGTTATATATGTGTGTTATTTGTGTGTGTGTATGTATGTACATGTTAGGGTGCACAAGAATGTTTGTGTTGAGATCAAACGGCAATAACAGGTGTCTTTCTCCGTTGCTCTCCACCTCATTTTTTAAAGTTTTTTTTTTTTAATGTATGTGTGAGTACCTTTTCATTTGTAGGCATGCTGTGTGCTCCTTGTGACCTTACAGGCCAGAAAAAAAAGTGTCAAGCCCCTTGGAATTGGAGGAATAGATGATTATAAGCCACCTGGTACGGATGCTGGGAACCAAACCCAGATCCTCGGGCTCTTAGCTGAGTAAGACCTGCAGCCTCTCTGATTTAGTTTTGAGGCCGAGTGTCTCACTGAACCTGGAACTCACTAGTTTGGCTGGGCTAACTGGCCAGTCCATGGGCTTAAGGATTCTGTCTGCCTCTACCCTCTCAGCACTGGTGTGTATGCTTGGCTTTTGGTGTAAGTGCTGGAGACCCAAAGTCAGGTCCTCATGCATGCGTGTCAAATACTTTTTAAATGAACCACCTTGCCAGCCTATCGTGTTCTCCCTCTGCTGCTCATACAAAGAATGAGTGTTCCAAATGTTGTCTTCCTAGAGAGGAAGAAAAAGAACTGGGTTGGTGTGGACATGGGGACGGTCTGAGAAGAACTGGTGGAGGGGAAAAGATAATAAAAAACAAGCAGAATTCCCAGTTTAGAGAACTAAGAGAATAAAGCCTGGTACATCATAACTCTCACACATCAGCCAACTGTCAGATTTCTGAAGCAGTGTTA